TTGACTGATAGATGTAGATATTTATATTAGATATTTATATCTACATATATCTGTCTGCATACACACAAACACACATACACACACACATACCTCCTATTGCTTCTGTTTTTCTGGAGAACCCTGACCAATACAGGAATGAAGTACTGATCCATGGTACAACATGGGATGAACCTTGAAAATATTAAGTATACTCATACTAAGTAAAAGAAGTGATATGGTTTGGCTGTGTCACCACCCAAATCCCATCTTGAATTGTAGCTCCCATAATTCCCATATGTTGTGGGAGGGACCCAGTTGGAGATAACTGAATCATGGGGGTGGTTTCCCCCATGCTTTTCTCATGATAGTGTATAAGTCTCACAAGATCTGATGGTTTTATAAGGGAAAACCCCTGTCACTTGGCTCTCATTCTCTCTTGCCACCACCGTGTAAGAAGTGCCTTTCACTTTCTGCCATGATTATGAGGCCTCCCCAGCCATGTGGAACTGTAAGTCCGTTACACCTCTTTCATTTGGAAATTGTCCAGTCTCAGGTATGTCTTTATCAGCAGCAGGAAAACAGACTAATACAAAAAGCCAGAGACAAAGGCCATGTATTACATGATTCCATTTATATACAATTTACAGAATGGACAAATTTATAAAGACAGAAAGATTACTGGTTACCAGAAGTTGAAGAAAGGGTAAATGAAGAATGATTGCAGATGGGTGTGGGATTTTGCGGAAGGATGTGGCAGAAGTGATGGAAAGTCCTGGAATTAGATAGTGGTGATGTTTGCACAACCTTGTCAATATACTAAAAACCATTCAATTATACACTTTAAAAAATAAACTTTATGGGATGTAAACATTTCTCATTGTTAAAAAACCATAGAAAGGTAATTCAAATTATTATTTTATATTGTCCCTCTAAGAGTGGTAAAATTGTTTACCACTACACTTAATTTAATAAGTGTAGTGGTTTGAGTAGTGCCTTCCCAAAAGCTGTGTCCACCTAGAACTTCAGAATGTGACCTTATTTAGACAAGGGCCTTTGCAGGTAATGATTAAGGTAACAGTATCATGATTAGATCGTTTTGAATTAGGATGGGCCCTAACACCAACAATGGATGTCCTTATAAGAGACAGAAAAGGAGAGACACACATGGGGAGGCCACGTGAAGGGGAGGCAGAGATTGGAATAATGCAGCTATAAACCAAGGACTGTTAGCGGGATTGAGTATTGAGCCACCCAGTTTGTGGTAATTGGGTAGAAGAAATTAATACAGTAAAGCTATTTTTGCTAATGTCCAGAAATATTACTTTATGAATAGTGAAATTAATACAGGGACTAGCTTAGGCAATGTATAAGGGGGGAGAGTTGATATCAGTAGTCTGTCTTGGACATTGATATCAGAAGTCTGATATTTTGGATTCGTATCAAATACAAAATAAAAATCTGTTCTGTATTTGATATCTCATAAATGCATGAAGTTGGCGTTTACTGTGTTAGCACATTAGAGAGAGCTCTATTCTCCACTGGAAGGCAGACTTAACATTCCTTTGAAACGTGTAAGGGCCTGAGTAATTCTTGAGTCAGTCAAACCAAGTCTCTCCTACACATTTCCTATATCTTATCTGTAAAAGTATGTGGATCTGTCTATGCAAAATAAAGCAACCAAGTAAATACGCAAGCCAACTTTATTTCCCACCTCGCTTCTCCTTTTTATCCAACTATCCCAGAAAGGTATTGCACTGTCTTTGTTTTCATTTGTCTTTCATCCCTGAAATTTGGCTTATTCTCAAAACCCTCACCCACTACCACCATGATCTGTACATGCTTGAGTTACAGATTTTCCAAAACCAAGTGTGGTGGTTACTCCTTCAGTCATTATCTCACTGCTGCACTTGGTACTGTTGACCATAGCCTCATTCTGCTCTCTCCCTATCTCTCTCTGTTTCTTCTCAGTCTCTTTCCTGACAATTTTATCCTCCAATGGCTCCCCAGGACCCAGAGGATAAGTCCAAACATCTTAGCGTGATACATAAGCCTCCATGTGATCTGGCCCCTGTCCACTGCTCAGCTTCTTCCACTTCCTAACTCCCCGACATGGTCAAGGTGTCATCAGCAGCCGACCAGACCTCCTATCCACCTATTATTGCATTGACTGTCACTCATCCTCATCCTCTACTCCAACAACTGTTGTTTGATCAGAGGCAATGTTGTACCAAATACCATGACAGTACTAGGAAGTAATCTGCGTTTATAAAATCTTGGCAAAGACTGGAGACTGTTTGGTTTTTCAGTCTGAGTTTGTGAAACACTGTACAGCTCTGAATTAGCCACATCCTTGTCTACATGCAACTGCCTCCCTATGGGTAAGAGAAATTCTTCAAAAGTGTTAGATCAGGTCTGCAAATTCTCCTTATTGTTCTCTAAAGCCCAAAATTTTGTTTCCTTTTCAAAGGTCTGCATCACACATTGGCTATAATGGTGAGGTTCCTTTTCCTATTTTGTTCAACGACATTCTCCAACTATTAACTGTCATACCACTGGTTTCCATTTCTTTAACTTTTCCTTTCTATCTCCTTTGGAAGTGTCCAAAGGCCCTTTATACTCTCTAACAAAGTAGTACTCCTGTATCCTCATAAGCAAGGACGTCAGAGGGATAAGTGCCTCTGGCCTAGGGATGAACACCCACACATCCTACAATCAGGAGCAGCTGGTGCAATGTCCCAGCCACATTAACTTTAGGATAATCTGCATAGTCCTTTGGATATAGGAAACAAACTCCCCACTACCGTCACCCCAAATGGTTAGAGCAGACGGTAGTTGCAGCTAACCACATTTCTTTGGGTTTAAGATTTGTTTTTGTTCATGCAATGCCATCTTTAGGGGATTCTTCTCTCCCCTCCTTCTTTCTGAGATGATGACTGGATGGAGGAAAGTCCTTGTGACATTAGGAAAAGTGATTCTGGCCGTCATGCTGCCCCGAATCTCTTCTGTATCTATTATTTGACTTGTGAAATGTGTGAGGGTCTCTTACCAGAGTCAAGGCCCCATCATTGGTCTTGGTTAGTTCAAGGCTTGGCTGTAGCTGCTATCGGGCCATGGCCTAGGTGATTACCCCAGGGCCTCTGATGGAGGGTCACTTTGTCCCTCAGTTGAAGGAAGCACCCCCATCTGCTCCTGTAATGAGCTCTCCAGCTTGCATTTCAGCTGTCATCCATCTCCCTCACTAGTGAAAATGGAACTCCAGGCTCCAGGGAATCGGGGTACAATCTAGGCCCCCAAGATTCATCACCTTTTGCAGCCCCTTCCAGCCAGGGTTAGAGCAGTTGATGTCATCCCACCCTACCCCAAATCCCCGCTAAAGGTCAGTCTCAAGTTGTAAAGGGACTGTTGAGGGGACTTACCTCTGATAGTTTCTCCCCACCCATGGCACCACCTCAGATGCTTTCCCTTTCTTTCCCCCTTCCTTGTATTCAGATATGTGCCCTTCTCTGGGGGTGGGGGGGCGTTCTCCCCTTCTCCAAGGAAGTACACTTCAACTTGGCAGTCTAGTCCCCATGGCAGAAGGGCTTCAGCGGGTAAAAGAAAACTACTCAGAAGGGTAACTACACTGGAAAATATTTTCTAAAACATGGTCCCCACTACACATGTTCAAGAGCTGCCTTAATTCCAGATTCTTTTTCCCTGCCTGTCTGTTTCCAGATTCGGAAACCTTCCAAAAAGCAGTTTCAGAGCATTGTCTGCAAAGAGCATTGTCCACTGCACTTGCAATTTGCACACCTGCTGAGGATGATGTGTGCATATTAAGTTACATATTATTGCCAGTGGCACACATGCATGACATGTGAATCTTTTGATTAAATTTCTTGTAAGTTTCCATTTCTTTCTGCTCTGCCTTCATTAGAAGTTGAACACCTTGAATATAGGAATTATGTCTCCCCAGTCTGGTGACCTTCTCCACTGGACTTGGTAATGATGCATCCTACAGAGCACAAAATTAATACCCTTGCCTGCCTGACTCTTTTCAGCAAACAGTTGTGCGCATTTTCTCATTTCTTCCTAAGCAAATTTCAGTGTGATTAATCCCTGCATCATCACTAATAGCAGTCACCAACACTTTGGAGAAATGTATTTCTTTTCTGGACTTAAAACATCACCACTTTTTGGCCAGGTGCAGTGGCTCACACTTGTAATCCCAGCACTTCAGAAGGCTGAGGCAGGTGGATCACTTGAGGTCAGAAGTTGGGGACCAGTCTGGCCAACATGGTGAAACCCCGTCTCTACTAAAAATACAAAAAAATTAGCCGGGTGTGGTGGTGCACACCTGTAATCCCAGCTACTTGGGAGGCTGAAGCAGGAGAATCACTTGAACCCAGGCAGAGTTTGCAGTGAGTCGAGATCATGCCACTGCACTCTAGCCTGGGTAAAAGAGTGAGACTCCGTCTCAAAAAAATTTTTTAAAAGGCCAGGCGCAGTGGCTCATACATGTAATCCCAGCACTTTGGGAGGCCAAGGTGGGTGGATCACCTGAGATCAGGAGTTGGAGACCAACCTGACTAACATGGAGAAACCAAATCTCTACTGAAAATACAAAATTAGCCAGACGTGGTGGCGCACTCTTGTAATCCTGGCTACTCGGGAGGCTGAGGCAGGAGAATCGCTTGAACACAGGAGGAGGAAGTTGTGGTTAGCCAAAATCATGCCATTGCACTCCAGCCTGGGCAAAAAGAGCAAAACTTCTCCTCAGAAAAGAAAAGAAAAGAAAACATCACCACTTTTTGGCTGACTTTTCACCTAGCGATGATGGCTTCACTTCAGATATTGAAGAGACACTAAATGGGTATGTACTCCGATTTGTGTCTTGTTTGCATTTTTCCCACAACTCTAGAAAATCAGAGGAAGCTTTCATCTTTCTTTTTCTGGTGTGTCCTGATAAAGCTGTTATTCTTTTGCATAAACATTGACAGTAACTAGCAAAAAACAACAACAAAATGGAGCCGAGCACTTGCCTTCAGTTCATTGGTGTCAGCCAGTTTGGCTTTGAGCTCAGTGTTCAAGTCCCGACATGTGTTCAGCTCCTTCTGCAGCCTCTCCACCTTCTTCTGCAGGTTCCTGACAGTAAGATGTATGTTGTCCCTCTCAACCACCAAGGCCGTGCGTGCCTGCTTCTCCTCCTCCAGCTGGGCTATTTTCTGCCGGAGGAGGCTCATGTGTAGTTCTTTGCTTTCCAGTCTCTCTTTCTGTGTCTTTAGCTGGTTTGATGCAAACAGGGATTTTTTTTAAAATAATTGGACAATAGTAAATATAAATGAGTTACCCAGTAATAATAATATCCAGAGGTGTTGATCTTTATCTACACCTCTATAAGACTAATGTGTAAACCATCAAAAAAGTTATTGGATTCCTTTTCCTGATTGCATTTTTTATTCATACCCTTTCCAAGAATTAATTGCATACCTAAACTCTGAGACAAAGGAGCCCTAGAAAATGTGCAGAGGAGTCAGCTTTCCACATCTGATGCTCTCTAACATTATGTGCATCATCAGAAAAGTGTAAAATTACTTTTAAAAAACTCCTCAGATGAACTTATCAAGAGCAGAATATGATAAGACAGAGAGACAAAATCCTGTCTAACATCTAACGGCCACAATACCTGCACTGACATTTTCTGAAATAAGATACAATGCAAGTGAGTACTGTCAACCTAGACCGGCTCATTTCAATCCCTTAGAACTGGAACAGGTGGTCCCCAACATGGGAGTGGATATATATCAACTTTTTTTTTTTTTGAGACAGGGTCTCATTCTATTGTGCAGGCTGGGGTATAGTGGCATGATCACGGTTCACTGCAGCCTCCCTCTCCCAGGCTCAAGCAATCCTTCCACCTCTCCGCCTCCCAAGTAGCTGGGACTACAGGTGTATGCCACCACACCCAGCTGATTTTTGTATTTTTTGTAAAGACAGGGTTTCACCATGTTGCCCAGGCTGATCTTGAACTCCTAGGTTCAAGAGGTCCACCTGCCTCAATCTCCAAAAGTGCTGAGATTACAGGTGTAAACCACCACACCTGGCTGAGAGTTGATATATTTTTAAAGTGAGATACACCAAGGAGACTTTTAAGTAAGCTTTGCTTAAAACTTTGCTTATACATATAAAATCTTAGAAATAAAAGAGACTGTAAGAAGGCTTCTTGGTCTTTATTATATGCCCAGACTATAAGGTCCACAAACTAAGGAGAGGACAGGTTCTCAAACATCATTTATCATTGGTAATCAAACTCAAAAAAGGAAATCAGAGTGATATTTAAGAAAATGACTGTGGACTCTAGAGGAGAAGAATCTTCCTGGGCTCCACATGTCACAATTAGTGGATGGAATATTAAGTACAGAAACCTCTGTCATGTGCTACAAACATCAGAATCAGAATCATGTATTATCAAGTGTTCAAGCTGAAGACCATCAAATTTCCCCTAATTATCTACTCTGCACTTGTAAAGTGGTAAAAGGTGGAAAGACTTACTGAAATGCTGCTTTGAGTATCCTGCCTAACAGTGACAGCTGTCTCCATATCTAGATCACTTTTGAACAAGGCCTTTTTAATATTTCTCTCATCAAATTCCCTTTCTTAAGCTTCTTCATGTCAAATTCCACTCCAGGTCAGACATGGTGGCTCATGCCTGTAATCTCAGCAGTCTGGGAGGCCAAGGAAGTCGAGTGACCTGAGGTCAGGAGTTTGAGACCAGCCTGGCCAACATAGTGAAACCTCGTCTCTATTAAAAATACAAAAATTAGCCAGGAATGGTTGCAGATGCCTGTAAACCCAGCTACTCAGGAGGCTGAGGAAGGAGAATCACCTGAATCTGGGAGGCAGAGGTTGCAGTGGGCCAAGATCATGCCATTGCACTCCAGCCTGGGTGACAAGAGTGAAACTCTGTCTCAAAAAAAAAAAAAAAAGAAAAGAAAAGAAAAGAAATAAAAGTTCCACTCCATTGCAATTTTACACTGGTAAATTCTATAGACTGGTAAGTTTAATAATTATATAATTATTAAGAAGTAATAGTGTTGGATATTGAGAAAAAGCATCAATGATCTGAGCAGAACTTTGGAAAGAATGGTAGCTAATTTAATGTCTCTAATGGTAATAGAGTTTGTATGCTATCTTTTATAAAATATTTCTCAAGATATGGTAGTGGAGAAGCCAAACATGAACTCAGCAACTTCTGTGAGCCAAGGGTTTGAAAATGTTATTTATTAAAAACTAGCAACTCCTTGGGGTATATAGCATCCCCATCTTAAATATAAGGAAACAGAGACAGAGAGGTATATAATTTGTTCAAGGTCACACAGCTTGATGGAACCAAATTGGGAACCCAGATGTGACTCATTATACAGCATCTACACTGGAATTGTATCATAGCATTTTTCTCCTAAGAACTATTATAAGAATACATCTGTGTTTTCCTATTTTTCCCCAATACCAATAATTATGTAACCAATAATTATATTTTATCCCTTTCATCCATTCATTCATTGATTTAGTCTAAACTGTTTCTAACTCTTCGTTTGAGTGAAGAAAAGTAAGCCCTTCTCTCTCTACTAGAATTTCTAGCGCAACTGAGCTTATAAATGCAGAGGCTGCTAAATGTCCTCCCAGTTCTCCTCCTCTCCCAAAGTAATAGAAACTGTGAATTTTTTCTAGCTAGGTAAATGGCTACCCAGAATAAAGGCTACATTTGCAAGCCTCCCTTGCAGCTAGGTTTGACCACCAATACATTTTCTGGCCATGGGATATAAACAAAAGTTCATGTAGCAAATTCTGAATGCCTTTTTCAAAAGATGGCTCTGCTTGTTCTTTTACAGCCCTCTTCCTCACTCTTTTCTTCTATTCTATCTTGAACACAGATATAATGGTTCCAGGCACCATTTGGAACCATGAGAATAAGGATCACCCTAGGGATGGGAAATGAATCAGCTGAAATGAGCCTGGTTCCTTGAAGACTTTACAGAGGAGAGTTGCCACACCAGCCCCAAACTTCCTGTCTCCAGGAATTCGTGTGAGAAAAACAAAACAAAACAAAAAAACAAAAAACAAAAAACTTCTACTCGCTTAAGTCACTGTCGTTGTGGGTACTGGTTACACACAGTGAAACACGACCTTAGGTGACAGATACACTTATCAATTCTTCAGACTTGAAATTCAGCCTCCAATTCTAAATACATATTTTTATAAGATTCTTCCTAGCTACACTGGTAAATATGGTGGCAGTACATTATTTTTCAATGTTTGGGTTTTTCAGAAATTTCTTCTCTCAATACTAGCAAGTTTCAATATCCCCTACCTTTCTCTGCAAATTGTGGGCAATGGTCTTGTTCTCAATGACTGCATTGCTCTCAAGACGAACCAGCTGCTCTGTTCGAGCTAAAACCACATCCAGCCGCATGTCAAAACCAAGTTCGGCAGCCATCTGGTCCAACTTCATTTTCTGCGAAAGCTGATCCAGAAATTTAAGATACTAAACCCAAGAACAAAAACAAAAATAGGACATGAAAGTCAAAGTTAATGGGTGATCTCACAGAATCTTTTCCTCTTTCTCCCAAGCTTACAGGTAATTCTCCTTTGCAGAGAGCATAGAGTGGAGCATGGACTCTGATCCAATATGTGGTAATAAATTCCTGAACCATCCTGCCAGTTCCCTGCCTACTCCTTGTCTGAATGCTCTTGACTCTCCTAGCCCTTGATGTTGATGTTCAGTCGAATATTATATACTTTTCTTAACCCTGCCAAACAACACATTTGGCTATGTTTGATTACATCTTCATCTCTCTGCTTTGACAACTTGCTGCTGCAACCATGCCCCTTCCAGGCTAATCCAGCCCCTGGGATCCACCCATTGATACGGTTTGGCTGTGTCACTACTCAAACCTCATCCTGAATTGTAGCTCCCATAATTCCCACAAGTTGTGGGAGGGACCTAGTGGAAGATAATTGAATCATTGGGGGCAGTTTCCCCCATACTGTTCTCATGGTAGAGAATAAGTCGCATGACATCTGATGGTTTTATCAGGGAAAACCCCTTTTGCTTGGCTCTCATTCTCTCTCTCTGCCTGCTACCATATAAGACATCCCTTACTCTTCCACCATGATTGTGAGGACTCCTGAGCCACGTGGAACTGTGAGTCCATTAAACCTCTTTTTCTTTATAAATTACCCAGCCTCAGGTATGTCTTTTTAAATTTTATTTATTTTATATATATATATATATATTTTTTTTTTTTTTTTTTTTTTTTGAGACAGAGTCTTCCTCTGTTGCCCAGGCTGGAGTGCAGTGGCTTGATCTCAGCTCACTGCAGTGTCTGCCTCCCAGGTTCCAGCAATTCTCCTGCCTCAGCCTCCCAGGTAGCTGGGATTACAGGCACATGCCACCATGCCTGGCTAATTTTTTTGTATTTTTAGTAGAGATGGGATTTCACCACATTGGGCAGGCTGGTCTCAAACTCCTGACCTCAGGTGATCCATTCGTCTTGGCCTCCCAAAGTGCTAGGATTACAGATGTGACCCACCGTGCCCAGCCTATGTCTTTATCAGCAGTGTGAAAATGGACTAATACACCCACCCACGCACCTTCCTTGGGAATTTTTCCCACCTAACTGGTCCCTGACCTCAAAGGTGGACCCTGGCAACTTAGTCAGTTGCCACTTTACTCTTCTTAGGCTCTACAGAGCACTCCAAACTCAAAGCTCACCATACAAACAAAATTTTGAACAAGATTTTGGGGTCTTTTTTATTAATTAAGACGTTTTAGAAAATGTCTTTAAAATTAAGTTAAATTAAGTAAAATTATGTTAAATAAACACCTCCTCCCTAAAACAGAGCTGTATGAAGGAAGTCAGGGTTCATATTTTAGCAGTCTACAGTTAGAAAGCTATTTAAAGGTTTTCCTCTACTTGATTTCTGTGGTTTATCTGGCAAGTCCACACATAAGATAATGCTTACTAAGTGCTTACTGGATGAATAAATCAATCAATGAGCTTTCTATATCATAATTTCATGATTTGGGTTTTATCTTTGATATTTTCTTCTGATTGCAATAACTTATCCATCTGGCATTTTCAGGCAATTAAATGTTTAAATAGGTACAATTTCCTGCCAACTGAAGCACACCAGCTTAAAGCCCAGAACTAGCCATGTTTTAATTATCAGGACGAAATTATATTATAAGTGTCTATTTTCCAGTTTTGGCAAATAGCATACATGTGAATACAATTTTATCTCTTCTTTATAAGTCATTGCAAATACCACTTATTGCATTGTGCTACAATCCCATAAACTGCTTTTGTCTCTACATCCTCTGGTTATCACTTTTTAATGCTGTATCAGCTTTCTATATGGAATTTTTAATTTTTAATCTGTGTCTATGAAAGTGACCTAAGTGCTATTGCTTGTATTTTACCTAAAATAGATAAGTACCTTTTACATGATGGTACGAAACCCTCTTTTTTTCTATTCTATGTATGACCCATCCATTTAGTGGGCCAGGACTACAACAGGCAAAAAGGGATTAAGACAAGACCAAGCAGAGAAAGACCCCATAGAGAAAGTTTCTATTTCAAGGATTTTGGCTATACTTCAGAAGTTTAAGGTTACTAGAAACTTTTAACTACATAGAAATGAAGGATTACTGTATATATTGTTCACTTGAATGACAGTTCAGCATAAATAAGAAACTGTGCATTCTACTGTCTTTGAGTCTGCCTAGATTACCTGCATTTAGCATTTAAACTGTGCAACTTTACTTTTCAATTTACATGATACTATCCATCCTTACCAGAACATGCATTTCATCCGCAGTTAGCGACAGAAGATTCACCATGGACAGAATTAGCTTACATAACTTGCTTTCATAACTGAGAGTTATTTGGACATAATCCCAATTAAAATTAATGATTCCTTTATAGTAAGGGAAGGCAATACCCATCCACCTGAAATTCTTGCCTTTGACATATTTCTTCTATAATTCAAATAATATTTATTGACTCTTTCTCTAGGCCCTGAAGAAACACAGGAAAAAGATCATTTCTTCCGGCCTCAAGAAGCTTGGAATATTTGGAGAAGAAAAAAATTTAAAAACAATCCAATAAGGGTAAAAAGTATCATGAGAGAGGCAGATGCATTATGCTCGGAGAGCATAAGGAAAGGTAGGTAAGTCTCCTAGGGAAGACTACCGGGGGAAGCAGTATTTGAGCTGAATCTTGAAGAGACTGCTGTTACCAGGTGAAGGAGGTGAGGAGAACGTTCTCTCAGTGAGAATAGCTGTGGGCAGTGTGGGAGGCAGCCGGAGGAGGCCGGAGGACTGAGTGCTGCTACAAATTTGCATGGATGGCTTTAGGCTCCGCAATCACCGCAGACCCCACCAGGGTCCTGCCGCTCCCAGAAGGTTTCTGAGTTTGCCCCTTGCTGGCAGGAGAAATTACAGGGGAAAGGGAAGATGGAGAGACCACCTGGCCAGCTCACAGAATGTGAAGCCATGGAAAAAGAAGGAATCTGTACCTGAGCCTGGGGCCCCTAGAGAGCCACTGGCCAGTTTTGAGATAAAGAAAGAGAAGATTAGGCACACGTTTCATGAAGACCTCCCTGGCAGCAATGAAGAGAGTAAATCTGAGGCATGAAGAACGGTGCCGGGAGCTCAGTTACTAGCTTGTTTCCCTAGTCGGTGTTAACGAGCACAATTCTCAGAGCCAAAGCACAGCTGCCGGATATAGAGATGGGGGAGGCATTGGAGATCTAGTAAGGAGACAGGATTTACAGTGCTTAGGAACTGATTAAAAAGAGGGAAGCGTTAAAGACGGCTTGAGCAAATGGAGGTAGATTACCACCATGACTGAAGCAGGAGAGGGATAAATGTGAACAGATGTCATTTCAGTTTTGAATATATTTTGGTGTTCACGGACCATGCGGGTGAAGCTGTCCCACAGGCAGTAATATGGCTTTCAATTTACATTACCATACTCAGGTGCAATATTTCATTTTGTTTGGTTGTGGTTTTTTGTTTTATTTTGTTTATTTGTTTTGAGAGGGAGTCTCTGTCACCCTGGGCTGGAGTACAATGGCCCGATCTCTGCTCACTGCAACCTCCGCCTCTCAAATTCAAGCAATTGTCCTGCCTCAACTCCCTGGGTAGCTGGGGTTACAGGCACACACCAACACACCTGGCTAATGTTTTGTAATTTTTAGTAGAGATGGGGTTTCACCATGTTGGCCAGGCTGTTCTTCAACTCCTGACCTCAAGTGATCCACCTGCCTCAGCCTTCTAAAGTGTTGGGATTACAGGCGTGAGCTATCACGCCTGGCCTGTTTTTGTTTTTTTGTTGTTGTTGTTTTGTTTTCTTTGTTTGTTTGTTGAGACAGGGTCTCACTCTGTCACCCAGGCTGAAGTGGTATGATCTCAGCTCACTGCAACCTCCACCTCCCAGGCTCAAGCTATCCTCCCATCTCAGCCTCCCAGGTAGCTGGGACCACAAGTGCGTGCCACCATGCTCAGCTAATTTTTGTGGGTTTTGCAGAGATGGGATTTCGCCATCTTGCCCAGGCTGGTCTTGAACTCCAGAGCTCAAGCGATCTGCCTGCATCAACCTCCCAAAGTACTGGGATTATAGGCGTGAGCTACCAAGCCGAGCCAATAATTCTTTATAAAATCAAATTTTCCACCATCACACCTTTACAGATATCTAATAGAAAAAGCTATCTCCCAGACTTCTCAAATCTAGCCCCTATTTCCATTCACAAAACCACTACATGGTTCATATCTTTATTATCTTCTGAACTGGACTAGTCTGAACTGGACTATCTTCTAAACTGGACCAGTCAGGGAGCCACCGACAGGGCTCCCTACCTTCCTTCAGCTGTGTCCAGCCCTTTGAATGCAAAGACTTTTTTGTTTATCTGTGGTGGCAGATATCTCAAAAATTATGCATGGTTGTTTTTTGTTTTTGTGTGTGTATGTGTGTGTGTGTGTGTTTGTTGTTGTTTGTTTGTTTTAGCTTATAGGCTATCACTATTGTTAGTGTATTTTATGTGTGGCCCAAGACAATTCTTCTTCTTCCAGTGTGGCCCAGGGTAGCCAAAAGGTTGGACATCGCTGCTACCCTCTAAGCCAGTCTGACTTGAGGGAAATCTTTCTTTTACTCAAAAACCTTCTCTGGCTTCCCATTACCTATGCAATGAAGCCTGAGCCATTGGACTGATCTATTTCAATGATTCCTACACCTGCCTCCAGTGCCGTCTCACACCTTTGGTTTCACCCAGTATCATGTCTCATGCTCCCTGCACCTCATTCATTTCCCGAGCCATCTTCTCACACCTCCATTTCTTCTTTGTTCCTGCTATTTTTTCTGCCTCAAATTCCTTCCCTCCTCTTCTGCCTGACAAATTCCTACTCATTCTTTAATGCTTCCCTCTTCTGTGAAGATGGCTCACTTACCGCACAGAAAAAAAGTCATTGCTCCTTTTTCCAGGTTTCTGTCAAATTTTATACCTGTCTCCATCGTGGCACTAATTGCACTACTGTGCACTAATTGCGCTATTGTACTATTACGCCCCGATCTCCCTGTCTCATCCGCTAGACTTGATTTTCCACAGACACCTTTGGCACATCTTTGCATATCCAACCTCAGTGCAGGCATGACGATTCCTCAATGTTTTAAGCACAGAAGAATGAAAAGGAATACGTTACTTGAGTGTAGACGTTTCAACTTAAGAGTATTTTTCATGCCAATTCTGCATCGAGGCTCTTGAGCCCCTGTGCCTCCCTTTCCCCTCCCACACTCCCTCCTATGGACTCTTACAGTCCACACTTTCCTCCCCATCCTGTCCAGCAAAACCTTTCTTTGATCTTGGTTTTCACAGCCACTGCCTCATGCCTGTCTTCTCTTTGGTCACCAGACTTCACACTGATCTACTGGAGGTCGCTCCCCTTCCTCTCAAGTCTCCCCTCAGCGCAAAGCAAACTGGCTTCTGCTCTCCACCACTCTACCAAAACTGCCCGTCAAAGATCACTGACAATGTCCCCACACTCAAATCCTCAGTGTGGGCCCCTTCTCTTCCCATTTAACTCTCCTCTCCCACTGGGTTATCAGCGCCATTGTTTCCGAGACTCTCCATGCCCCAATCTCAGCTCCACGGGGACATCTCGCTATCTTTCTAAAATACTGCCATGTGGCCGGGCGTGGTGGCTCAAGCCTGTAATCCCAGCACTTTGGGAGGCCGAGGCAGGCGGATCATGAGGTCAGGAGATCGAGACCATCCTGGCTAACACGGTGAAACCGCATCTCTACTAAAAATACAAAAAATTAGCTGGGAGTGGTGGTGGGCGCCTGTAGTCCCAGCTACTCGGGAGGCTGAGGCAGGAGAATGGCGTGAACCCGGGAGGCGGAGCTTGCAGTGAGCCGGAGATCCGCCACTGCACTCCAGCTGGGCAGCAGAGCCAGACTCCGTCTCAAAAACATAAAAATAATAAAAATAAAATAAAATACTGCAATGCTCACACTTACCACACTTCTTATTCTACAGATTAAAGAACACTCCATCTTCTTAGTCTAAGCCATTCCAGTCTTCTCTCTTGCCACAGATCCACCAAGAATAACATGTTCCAGCCATATAGGATTCACCAGTTTGCATTCTCTGAATACACTATGCACTTGCCAGATTTCATGCCTTTGTTCAAACTGTTTCCCCTACAGTATCTGTCTTCTCTCTCCACTATAATCCGACTTACCTTTGAAAAATGAACTTAATTATCGCCTCTCCTATAAAATCTTCCCTTTATCTAGAAGTTCCTACAGAACTTTCTGATTCAATACATACAACACATATAAACTTATAGTACAGCAACTTACCTGAGTGTCTGTCTCCCCTATCGAATTATGAGCCCTTTAAGATCAGAAACTGTGTATTATTCATATTTTAGCTTGCCAAACCTTTAGGACCTCATATATGATAGGCATTCAACAAATATTTGTTGAGTTTAATTAAATTAATTTGAATCAAGGAAGTTCCAAACCCATTGTTCCTTGAAATCGACTTAACTAATTAAGTCCAGGACTTAACCAAACTAAATACTGTAAAATTCAGAATATTTTCAGGTAAAATTTTATACTACAACAGATGCTTCTACTCATGGATATGCCCTCAGGTTATTACTTTTTGTTTCTCAAAATTCAAGTTGTCTCGCAAAACATCTCCAGAAACCAGCTCTGCCTCCAGGTGTATCAGCTGACCCTGAAGAGTCTCCAACATATTCTCTGCTTTCTGGGCCCTCTGGAGAGCTTTCTGGTGAAACTCAGACTCCTTTCCCAACTGTTCAACAAGCTCAGATATTTGGGCTTCAAGCTGGAAGACCATCTGGAAACAAAGAAACAGATCAAGAATAAGTCTTGTTTTAGATGCAAGGAAGTGTTCACATCTACTGCTCTGCCTAAGCAGCATAACTGTTTATGATACCAACTTCCAGATTATTTGTAAAAATCCCATGTAAAATATGTAAGTGATAGCTGTATTTCCCTCTGTTTGAAATAATCTACATTCATTATTGAATAAAATTTTTTGATTGGTATTTTTAATTTTTATATAATTCTTTTAACAGGTTAATCGATACAAATTTATGGATAACATTTACTTACGCCAAAACTATTGCTAAGAGTTTCAAAGTTTAGTAGGAAAAAGAGTTAAGACAAAAAGTACTATAAAAATCTACGAAGAATCATTCCCCAGAAAAATGCTTTCACCATTTTGAGTTGACTTAAGATTAGACAGCAAATTAATCTTGGCAGGTAACGTTGAGGCATTACAGGGAATTCATGTACAGACATATGCTTTTTCAAACTTTTTTCAACTTTCTATTGAAGATTGGTTACCCATGCCCTAAACTCCAGGGATACTGACTCTACACTACATAGTCATAGAGTAATACCATTTTTGCATTGGAGAGGTCAAAATCTCTTTAATATGGTGACTCTAAATAGGGTCAGGATCAATGTACAAGAAGGCAGGGGGATCTGAGTACTGTCCCATGTTAAAGTCCCTCCAGCCTCTCCACAACCCACCTGATTTGCCCAATGCTCCCATCCTTCCGAGGAGTTCCTCTTTTTGTCCTGATCATTCCTTCAAACCAAGAGTGCAAGTTTACCAAGGACCTCAGGGACACTCTCAGAAAACTCCAACTGATTTTACTCAATCCAGTTTCATAAAATGTTGGATTCAGTAAAACCACCAAGTCTAGGGTGATACATTTGTTTTCTTTTGATGGTTTATTTTGGAAGAGAAGAGGAAAAGCATAGTATTTACATAACAGTACAGTACCACTCTCACAAAAATGGAAACATCCTGACTGTTTCAGATTTTTACTGTCTCAATTTTTAAAAAGAAAACAATTTCTGTTTGCCTATCTGTAAACAGCCATGCTTAACCACATAATCTGCCTTCAAACTTTTTGAAAGGCTGTTGTACGGGTGAACAAAAGGATTTGTTCTGAGTTACTCTCGGAGCCTACATTGAGAACCAATAGGTATAAATCAGAGAAGAAATTCCATATTTATGAAAGGAAAATGTTTTCCCCAGTTCCTATAATTATAAATTAAGATATCCCCATAAAATTTCCTTTAACTACAAAAAGTATAAACAAGCAAAAAATAATTCCCTGTGATCCCACCACCCAGAGGCAAAAAGTATTAATATTTTTAAATAATTTGTTTTTGTGTATCATTAAAATATAGTTGAAATATCATACATGCAATTTTGTGTCTTTGTTTTTACCTAATTATTCTCATGCCATTTGAAATTCTTAATATTTTAATGGCTGCATTAAGAACTCATCACGAGAATGAGTCATCATTCACTTAAGCATTCCTTTATAGGAAGGGAAAAACTCTTCCCTGTGAGGTCTGAGCAAAAAAATTAAAAATAATAAATAATCAAAATACAGAAGAAAGGGAAAACTTTATAATGATTACAGCTGTCTAAAGACACTGTCTAGTAGGGAGTGGATTCCCAGTCACCGAAGATGGCCAGAAATTGGCTAACTACGGGCACATCTCACTTTATTGCACTTACTTTATTGCTCTTCACAGATATTTAGTTTTTTACAAATTGAAGGTTTGCAGCAACCCTGCATTGAGCAAGTCTATCAGTGTCATTTTTCGGACAGCACATGCTCACTTTGTGTCCCTGTGTCACATTTTGGCAATACTACCAATATTTCAAATGTTTTTCATTACTATGATATCTGTTACGGTGATCTGTGATCAGAGATCTTTGATGTTACTATTGCAGTGTTTGGGGTGCCACAAACCACTCCCATATAAGTCAGTGAACTTAAATGATAAATGTGTACTTTCTGACTTTTCCACTAACTGGCTGACCCCACATGTCTCTTCCTCTCCTTGGGCCTCCCTATTTCCTGAGACACAACAATATTCACATTAAGGCAGTTAATAACCTTACAATGGCCTCTAAGTTTTCAAATGAAAGGAAGAGTCAGGCTGGGCATAGTGGCTGATCCTGTAATCCCAGCACTTTGGGAGGCCAAAGTAGGTGGATCACCTGAGGTCAGGAGTTCAAGACCAGCCTGGACAACATGGCGAAACCCCATCTCTACTAAAAATACAAAAATTAGCTGGACATGGTGGTGCATGCCTGTAGTCCCAGCTACTCAGAAGGCTGAGGCAGGAGAACCACTTGAACCTGGGAGGTAGAGGTTGCAGTGAGACAAGATCATGCCACTGCACTCCAGTCTGGGTGACAGAATGAGACTCCGTCTCAAAAAAAAAAAAAAAAAAAAAAAAGGAAGAGTCTCACTTCTCTCATTTTAACTCAAAAGCTAGAAATGACTAAGCTTAGTAAGAAAGGCATGTTGAAATCTGAGATAGGCCAAAAATTGGGCCTCTTACTCCAAACAATTAGCCAAGTTGGGAATAGAAAGGAAGCATTCTTGAAGGAAATTAAAAGTGCTACTCCAGGACAGGCATGGTGCTCACGCGTGTAATCCCAGCACTTTGGGAAGCTGAGGTGGGTGGATCACCTTAGATCAGGAGTTCAAGACCAGGCTGACCAATATGGCGAAACCCCATCTCTACTAAAATACAAAAATTAGCCGGGCATGGTGGCAGGCGCCTGTAGTCCCAGCTACTTAGGAAGCTGAGACAGGAGAATCACTTGAACCCGAGAGGCAGAGGTTGCAGTGAGCCGAGATCATGCCATTGCACTCCAGCCTGGGTGACAGAGCAAGACCCCATCTCAAAAAAAAAAAAAAAAAAAAAAAAAAAGGTGCTACTCCAGTAAACACCCCTGATATAGTGTGGATATTTGTCCCCTCTAAATCCCATGTTAAAATTTGATCTCCGGTTGGAGGTGGGCCTAGTAGGAGATGTTTGTTCATGGGAGCAGATCCTTCAATGAACACTTGGTGTCATTCTCACAGAATTGAGTGACAGCTCACTCTTAGTTCCCATGAGATCTGGTTGTTGAAAAGAGCTTGGCACCTCCTACTTTCTCTCCCTTTCTTTCTCTCTGGCCATATGATGCCTGCTCCCCTTCATCTTCTGCCATGAGTGAAAGTTTCTTGAGGTTCATTGTCAGAAGTAGATGGCACTGTGCTTCTTGTATAGCCTGCAGAACCGTGAGCCAAATAAACCTCTTTTCTTTATAAATTACTCAGCCTCAGGTATTCTTGTATGGCAACACAAATGGACTAAGACACATACAGATGATAACAAAAAACAGCCTTATTGCTGATATGGAGAAAGTTTGAGTGGTCTGAATAGACATCAAACCAGCCATAACATTCCCTTAAGCCAAAGCCTAATCCAGAGCAAGGCCCTAACTCTCCTTAAATCTATGAAGCCTAAGAGAGGTAAGGAGGCTGCAGAAGAAAAGTTTGAAACTAGTAGAGATTGATTCATGAGATTTAAGGAAAAAGCCATCTCCATAACATAAAAGTACAAGATAAAGCAGTAAGAGCTGATGCAGAAGCTGAGGCAAGTTATCCACAAGATCTAGCTAAGATCATTGATGAAGGTGATGACACCAAACAACAGACTTTCAATGTAGGCAAAATAGCCTTCTATGGGAAGAGGATGCCATCTAGGACTTTTATAGCTAAAGAGGAGAAGTCAATGCCTGCCTTCAAAGCTTCAAAGAATAGGCTGACTCTCTCCTTAGAGGCTAATGCAGCTGGTGACTTGAAGTTGAGGCCAGTGCTCATTTAGCATTCTGAAGATCCTAGGCCCCTTAAGAAATATGCTAAATCTATTCTGACTGTGCTCTAGAAATGGAACAGCAAAGCTGGATGACAGCATATCTGTTCACATCATGTTTTACTGAATATTTCAAGCCCACAGTTGAGACCTATGGCTCAATAAAAGATTCCTTTCAAAATATTACTGCTCGTTGACAATGTACCTGGTCATTCAAGAACTCTGACGGAGATGTACAAAGAGATGAACGTTGTCTTCACACCTACTAACACAGTATTCTTTCTGCAGCCCATGGATCAAGGAGTAATATTGACTCTAAAGTCTTATTATCTAAGAAATATACTTCATAAGGCTATAGCTGCCACAGAGAGCGATTCCTCTGATGGATCTGGGCAAAGTAAATTCAAAACCTTCTGGAAAGGATTCACTACTCTTGATACCATTAAGGACATTCATAAGTCATGAGAAGAGGTCAAAATATCAACATCATAGGAGTCATCTATGAGATGACTCTGAGGGGGTTCAGGACTTCAGTGAAAGAAGGAACTGCAGATGTTGTGGAAATAGCAAGAGAACTAAGATTAGAAGTGGACCCTAAAGACATGCTGAATTGCTGTAATCTCATGATCAAATTTATATGGATGAAGAGTTGCTTCTCATGAATGAGCAAAGAAAATGATGATTGAGATGGAATTTACTCCTAGTGAAGATGCTGTGAACATTGTTGAAATGACAAGAAGCATTTAGAATATTACATAAACTTAGATGACAAAGCAGAAGCATGATTTGAGAGGATTGACCCCAATTTAGAAAGAAGTTCTGCTGTTGGTAAAATGCTATCAAATAGCTCACATGCTACAGAGAAATCTTTTGAGAAAAAAAAAGAGTCAATTGATGTTTTCAACCACATTGTTGTCTTATTTTAAGAAATTGCCACAGCCACCCCAACCTTCAGGATTGTGATCAGCAGTAACCATCAACACTGCAGCAAAACCCTCCACCAGCAAAATGATTATGACTTGCAGAAGGCTGAGATGATTGTTAGCACTTCTTAGCAATAAAGTATTTTTAATTAAGGTATCCATGTTGTTTTTTAGATATAGGGTTATTGCATACTTAATAGACTACATAGTCTATGCATAGTATAAACAT